AAAAACTTAAGTGTCTAAACTTTGTGTTTTGACTTATTTTCATAGATTATATATTAATAATTATCCATCCGTTTTCTTAACCCCTCATCTATGTCAGGGTTGTGAGGGACTAGAGCCTATTCTAGCTTTAAATTGGGTGAGAAGGAGGGTAAACAGTGGACAGATCACCAGTCCATCAGGATATATTTACTCACTGGCTACTTCATTAGGTTCGCCTGTTCAATAGCTTATTAACATAAATATCTAATCAGCCAGTCACATGGCAGCAACTGAGTTTAGCATGCAGACATGGTCAAGAAGGACTGCTGAATCTCAAACTGAGAACCAGCATGGGGGGGAAATGGTTATTTTAGTGACTCTGAACATAGTTGTGTGTCTTAGTATTTCAGAAACTGCTGATCTACTGGGAATCCCTACACAGCCATCTGTAGGGTTTACAGAGACAGGTACAAAAACAAAATATCCAGTGAGCAGCAGTTCTCTCAGTGAAAATGCTTTGTTGATGCTAGAGGTCAGAGGAGACGGCTTTGAGCTGGTAGGAAGACATAGTAACTCAAATAACAACTCAATACGACCACAGTAAGGAGGAGAGCATCTCTGAACACACAACACGTCGGACCTTGAAGTTCATAGGTTACAGGACCAGAAGACCACACCAGGTGCCACTCCTGTCATCTAAGAACAAGAAATTGAGGCCACAATTTGCATGGGCTCTCCAAAATTGGACAGAAGTTTGGAAATATTGCCTGATCTGATGAGTCTTTTTCTGCTTTTTTGGATAGTAGGGTCTAATGTAAACTACATGAAAGCTTGGATCTATTCTGCCTTATATCAGGGGTTCAGGTGGTGGTGCAATGGTTTGAGGGATATTTTCATAGCACACTTTGGGCCCCTTAGTGCCAACTGAGCATTGTTTGAAACCTGCAGCCTACCTCAGTATTGCTTCTGATGATACTCATTTTTTTATGTCCACAGTATGCTGACTGTAACATTAGACTGTAAAGTAAGCAAAGGTAGGTTGATGTAGCAGAAGAAATAGCCACTTGTGTCCCACCTCTGAGTGTGTGTGTGTTAAAGATGGAATCACAGTTCAAGCTGTCACTCTTTTATTCTGCTTGTTGATGTTTTTCTGATGCAGTCGTGTTGAATTTGATGTGTTTACTGTGCTGAGACGGAGGCAGGCAGAATGAGAAGCAGCCGACGCCGGCTCCCCTGTGCTAGAACTACTAATCTTGACACAGAGTAAGTAAAGGTTAGACTGAACAATGTGTGTTTGCTTAAAGTGATTTTCATGACAACTACTTGATCATAGCAGGAAGAGAGATAGGCTGTATTTAGAAAAGCTGCATTACCAGACTGGACAATTTTTTTAGCTGTATTTATTACAGCGTTTCAACCTATTTGTCAAGTTTTAGATTTATTTTATTAAAGTTACTAAAAAAAACAAGGAAAAATAACTGGGGCGTCATTATATTTTAATTGCGATAAGGTTTTATTTTTTAATAAACGGTTCAGTAGAAGACTTAAGGAACACATTAGACTAACCATAGCAAGACAGATAAGAAAAGCCTACACTGACGATGAAAGGCTGTCATTTGTCACAGCAGTGCATTGAGCTGAACACTAACATTAACATGCTCACGGTGACAGTACTAACGGTGCTGATGTTTCTAAAGTTCTAAAGTGAAATGTTTACAGTGTTTACCATGCTAACAAAGATTAATTAGCACTTAATTTGCAGCTGCATCTGACAAGGGTGTCATTGTTTTTGTGTCTGATTATGAAACCAACTTAGAGCTAGAGTTAAAAATATTATGTTGGATAACTCTTTGCCATACAGTACTGTGCAAAAAACATGTGCCAACCCTAATTTCTTTACATTTTACTTCCAAGGAGCCAGATTTTCTTCAAATTCTTTAAAGTGAGCTTGAGCAGTAGTTCTCTAAAGGTCTTGTTCTTTGGACATGGACTGCTCTTTCACTCACTTTAAGTCCAGTCCTTGTACCTGACCATTTTTAGAGGAATGAAAGAGCACCAGCAAGGTGATTTCCAAAGCGCTATTAGCTGAAAACTTGGCATATCTTGTCATGAATGTGCAGTGTGTCCTATCATTTGAGGGAAACTGGACAACTTGAGGAGAAAAGACAAAATGTCTACAGCAGATAAACAGTATCTGAAAGTCATGTCTTAAGATATAGGGAAAAATCTGATATATTCTCATATCCATCATGCGGTAATAGCTTCATTTTGATGATCTCACACTGCTAGACTGGCCTCTAGCAGTGTGAGATCAGCTTGACATAGAATAAAACAAAAGGCAGCCAACATTCAGAGAAGAGCTTTAAATGTCCTTCAACAAGCTCAGAGAACTATTCCTGAAGAATGCTTAAAGAAATGACGAGCTTGCCTAAGAGTTCAGTCATGTTGAATATTGACTTTCAAGCTTTTTAGAATTATACTCTGCTTTTACATCCCATAGTATATTTCCATATTTCAATAAATCGCTGTACCCATTTCCCCATTTTCTTAACAAAATATAAAGAAATGAGGGGTGGCTCAAGACTTTTAGCTCTATATTTAATAAACGTTAAACCAGACATGAAGCAGCTCAGGTTTGAGTGTTAAATGTTTAATAACTTATATACAATAACATTAGCAATTCTTTGTCTCATCTTGGCTAGTCAATGCCAAATATTAAATACCTATATTTAAACCATATATATTGAAACTGTTCTGTAGGGATTTATATTGAAACTTAACTTGCGATCTGTACATTTTTGGTAATTTATGTTTTCTATACCAGTTTATGTGTTATTACTTTGAAGCAGCTTTCAGTGGATATTTATTTGCACTGAAATCCTGAACAAAATAACATGATTTAGTCAACTAATGAGGTCAACATGTCCCATCCAACACGTAACAAACATCTTTATTGGACAAGTTTACCTTAAACCCTGAGATCATGTGACGAACCCAGCCCAATATAGACATTTTTTAAAAATCGACTGCTGTTACTGAATTTTTCTGTCCGTTTTCTAGCCTCTCTCTTACTAAAGTTTCAAGAGAAAACAGATGTGTGTCTGAGTCCTCAGGCAGAAAAGTCCTCACGGCGTCAGCCAGCTGAAACAGGTACTCTGTATTTTTCCCGCTTGGACCGGTAGAGTTGATGATCTGATTGGCGATCTCCTCCAGGGGTGCGGGGCCGAGGTAGTTGGGATTGTCCTTGGAGCCGATGTAGATCAGCGTCTGGCTTGGCGAGCAAGTGAGTGATGGACGGGGATGAAAGGTCACCGTGACGACCTGATAACCACCTTTTTCTCGGTAGTCGAGGTAGTGCTTCACTTCTTCCTCCCGGCCAGTCGGCAGTTTGTAGGCAACACCCCAAACACACCCCTGAGGAAAGCAAAATGGCTTAGAGGTCCATAACCTGATGACATTTTATTAGGTACACCTGTTCAACTGCTTCTTCACACCAATCTGATTGGTGGCAGCATCTCAGTGCATTTAAGAATGTAGACATGGTAGACAAGAATACCTACTGAAGTTTAACTCAAGCAACAGAATGGGGAAGAATGGTGATTTGGTTGTTGGTGCCAGACTTACTGGTCTGAGTATTTCAGAAACTGCTGATCTACTGGGATTTTCTCACACAACCAGCTCTAGGGTTTATAGATAATAGTCCAAAACAGAGAAAATATGTCAGTGTGGACAAAAATGTTAGAGGAATGTTTCCAGAGCCTTTTTGAATGTATGCCTTGAAGAATTAAGGCATTGCAAAAAGGGTTCCAACCACTGACCATACTCACACCCAGAAAATTTTAATAATCAATTACTCTCTTGCTTCTACGCTGTGAGTATTTCTTATTGTATTTTATGTTTGCAAACATCCAAGGACTTTACCTTGGACTTCAAGAAACTATAATTGATATTTTTCAGCATTTATTTCAAACTTATCACACTTATCAGTCAATTCTAAAAACAGATTCCTGCCATGCTTTACTACATCACAACTCATACTACAGTACTGTGCAAAATTCTCAAGCCACTCCTCATTTTTAGACATTTTGCTTTTAAGAAGTCAGACTTTCAAGTTCTTTTTTAAAGACATCTTGAGCAACAGTTCTTCAGGCTTTCTGAATCTTTCAAACATTTTCCTTCTAGACATTGGCTGCTTTTTCCACTCATTTTCATTCCAGTCGTTGATCATTTTCAAAGATTTTGTTGTTTTATTTTATTTGTTTTGTTGTCGCACCGGAAACTGGATTGTTCAAATTGCCTTTACTAAGTACAGACATGGTCAGGAGAGAGGTACAACATTGAGTATCTGTTGGCATCTGTGAAACATGGCTTATTGTGGTTTGGGGCTGCATTTCAGCCAGTGGTACTGGGTATCTTATCAAAATTATGTAATAATAAGCATTGAAAAGTACAGTCAGACTTTAAAACATAAAAACATTATCTGGGAAGCATTTGGCAACAGACTGCCACTGGAACACTATTAGACATGGATTGGC